CCCAGACGCCCCCAGACATGGTCTTAATGGTCATTTCACGGGAGTCAGTGTCACCCCATCTCCCTGGGCTTGTTGCGGGGGAAGCTTGTGCAGGAGGAGACAGAGGTCCAAGGAGGGACAGTCTTGGCGAGTGCCACAGAGTAAGTCAGCGGCAGAACTGGGACTTACTTAGGGATCTTGCCCCAGTTTAGTTCTCTTTCCTACCCAGTGTTGCCTCTTCTCCTTCGGGGGTAAAAGACTCTAGGGACTTAGCCTTGTGGGAGCTTGCTTCCACCAGACCCCAGTCCATTGGCCAAGGAGAGCTTTGCCTCCTGGATCTCCTGGGAGGGGTCCTTGAGAGAGGCTTTTTTGCCTCCTGTCCCTCCTGCCCTCTGCAGCCCTGGCGCAGCAGGTAGAGCAGCTGAATGCCAAGATTGAGAAGACCTACAAGGAAGTTAGCTTCCTGAGCACGTACATGGACCATGAGTATCCTGTCAAGTCGGTCCAGATCGCCAGCCTTGTGCGTCAACTGCAGCAGATAAAGGACAACCAGCAGGTAGGGGAGCCCCTGGCCCCGCCCTGCCAGACCACACTGGAGGCAGGGCCGTGGCCCACACCTTCCCGCTGGCCCCCAGGATGAGCTGGATGACCTTGGTGAGATGCGCAGAATGGTCCTGCAGTCTTTGTCTAATCAGATTCAGAAGAAGAAGAAAAAGCTTCTGCAAGCTCTGGTGGTGGTGAGTGGCCAGCCATGGCGGTGGCTGTGTAGGTCCTGCCTCAGCCCTGCTTCCTTTCCCGTCCTCTGCCTCCAGGCTCCCTGCATTCGCCCCCACCCCCAACTGGAATCTACCAGGTCCTGCTGCCCCGGAAGAGGCACCTTGGGGCCTGACCTCCTCTCCCTCCACAGAAAAGCCAGCAGCCCCATCAGGAAGCTCTTCTGCAGAAGACCCGGGACAACCAGGACATGCTGAAGTACATGGACAAGTTCCGAGAAGTGAGTGGGCACGGAAGGGGACGACCCCTCTGTGAGGGAGCAGAAGGGTGGGTGGGCCCCAGGACTTCTGCGAGTCAGGCTTGTCCTGATCTGGTGCTCAGGAGGCCTCTGGCTCTGGTGTCAGCCTCTCGCCCAGCTAGCACCATTGCTGTCCCTTGTCATTCCTCTGACAAGGAGGTTAGTGCAGGCCCAGGCCTTGCCTCACTAACCAGCATCACCGGCGATGACCCACTAGCAACATCACCAAGCATCCTGTGCTCACCCATCATTTTACTGTCATAACCCCCTCCTATCTTCACCACTTAATTCTCGCCACTGACCATCACTCATTAGCCATGTTAATGAACTTCACCATCACTGCCCCTCATCTGCTGTCAGCATGAGTGGTCTTCATTGTATCTGCCAGCCCCCATTCGTTCTCATCACTGGGTACTGCCCCCCTCCCCCACCTTTGCCACCTATCTCCATGCTCCATGACCTCGGCGCCACATTCAGGACCATCAAACATTGGCCCTTACTTGCGAGCAGCCCTCCGGAGTCCAGGAGGCCCCTGTGGCCCAGCGTGCAATTTTCCTAGATGGCCTTCCTCCTCATTTGGGTGGCCCCGTTCTTCCTTCTGTTGGGGGACGTCGGGCTCCTCACTCTCCCCTGCTGTGCTTCTCCCCTCAGTTTATCAACCAGTTTGAGGAGGAAATACCCATACTGAAGGCCGAAGTGGAGCAGCTCCAGGTGCAGGTCCAGGAGCCCCGAGAGATCGTATTTGCAGATGTTCTGCTTCGGAGACCCAAGTACGGGATCTTTTTTTTGCAGCTGCTGCTTAAACCCACCATGCTGGGCCCTTGAAGAGGCTCTCTGTCCCCAGGAAAGGCAGTCTGGTGGAGAAGGCAGACCCCTGCGATAGAGGGTGCAGGGTGACCCGGATCTCCTTGGCTCTGCTGCTAACCACACAGATGTGACCTTTCCCGTCTCTGGGCCTTCGTGTCCCATTTGTACGCAGGAAGCTGGGTTACATAAGCTTTGTGGACTCTTCAGGTTCTCAGATTCCATGTTTCCTCCAAGTGGGTGTACCCCTAAGCTCCCAGGGTGTTCAGGAAGGTGGAGTTGAGTAGGGTGTTTGGCTCCAGGGAAGACAGGCCACTCCGTGAGGAGAGAAGGATGTCCTCTCCACCTGGCAGACTCCCGGGCCCCAGAGGAAGAACTTCCTTCCTTCCAAAGCCAGTTCTCCACCCACCTTTCTTGGGTCAGGCCCTTTGTGGCAGAGCCTGGGGATCCCATGAGGCCAGGCCTCATGTGGTTGTTCACAGGACCTGGGGCACCTTGTACAGAGCCCTCAGGTCGACGATTGAACTCAGAAGACTGATACCGGCTACAGATGGAAATTTCGGCATTGTCAGCATAAAGATGCTTTTTCTCTTTTGCCATTATTTTGGGAAATTTCAAATACGCAGACAGTAGAGAGAATGTTCTGGTGAACACTCAGTTGCCCGTGTAGATTAGGAGTTGTTCTATTTTTGTCATATGGGTTCATCTTCATTCCTTTGCTTTTTCTCATGAAATACTGTCAATTGCAGACATCCTGACATTTCTTGCCTGAATAGCTAGCTCAGTGTGGGTCAGGAGAGTATGGAAGCCATGAGAATGGATGAGAGAATTGGGACGAGGTTGGGGGCAGGATGTAATTGTCTGGCCCCCTAAATGTGCTGGTCCCTGTGATGGAGGCTATTCTCACTCCTTGTATGGAAAGAAGGACGCCTGTCAGTGACGGAGCTTAGTCCACCTGCCAAAGATCGAGGTTGGAATTATTCCCCCCGTTTGAGCAATGAGGAAACTGAGGCTGCTCTGGGCTTGGGCGCATAGTGAGTACTTGTCACATACATGCCAACCGAAGGAGTGGGGCTCTGGGGGAGGTCGGAAGCTCAAGATTACACACAGCCAGGTGTCCAAGCCGGCCATTCTGACCACAAAGAGAGTGCTGGGCATGAGAGGCCGCGCATTTCAGAGCCTGCTCCCTCTTGACCCCAGACCTCTGGAGGGGAACATTCATTATGCCAGACCCACTCCTCTTTTATTTTTGGTGTGTGCACACATCTCCACGTGCACACGTGGGCTGCACAGTCACTGGTGTTTTGGGATGGGGCTCCCCAACTGAGTACCAGTGTTCCGAAGAGCTGGGTGCCCCCGAGGGTGTGCTCTCCCACTCTTCAACTCTGGCGCCCCTGCCTGACCTCCCGTACCCTCTTTGTTCTTCCCTACCAGGTGCACCCCAGACATGGACGTCATCCTCAACATCCCCGTGGAAGAGCTACTGCCCTTCTAGATGCTGGGTCCAGGGGCCAGCCTTTCCTCCCTGCTCTTTTTTCTATACCTGGAGCCTTGACTTATCTTCTTCTCTGAGCACATGCCCACTTTCAGAGCCTGGTCTCCTCTTCCTCCCTTCCTTCCTTCCCCGCCTCCCTTTCTCTCTCTTTTCCTTCCTTTTTTTTTTTTTTTTTTTTTCCCATTCTTCCTTTCTTCCTTCCTCCCTCCCCGTCTCCCTCCACCTTTCCTCTTTTCTTTCTGGTTGGCGCTGCTGCTTGGGCCAGGTGGGTACTCCCTGTCAAGTCTGCCATTCCTTTTTACCAATAAAGCTGGATTTGCATTTGCTCTTTTGCTTGGAGATTTCCAGCTAGGCCTTGAGTAGATGTGGTAGGAATGGACTATGGTCTTAAGATAAGGGGTGGTTAGGGTGCCTGAGTGGCTCAGTCGCTTAAGCATCTATCGTTGGCTTGGGTCATGTTCCCAGGGTCCTGGGATTGAGTCTCTGCATCGGGCTTTCTGCTTAGTGGGCAGCCTGCTTCTCCCTCTGCCTCTCTCTGTGTGTGTCTCTCATGAATAAATAAAATCTTAAAAAAAAAAAAGATAAGGGGTGGCTAACTGCGCTGATTGTGTCTGGGGCACAGGACTTCTTGAGAAGAGCCGAGTGAGCCCCTCTCTGAACTGGCTCTGGGCTGCGCTGTCCCTGGTGCGATGGAAGCCTAGCTTCCCTACTAATTTGTGCTCAGACCTGTTGAGGCCAGTGCCAGGGCAGAGGGGAGACTCCCCAAGTTGGTGCCCCTGGGAACTTGCCGGGTTTTCCTCGCTGATGGCCATCTCTCTTCTGGTCCAGCTGTCTGTCTGTCCAGTGCCTGCACCCCAGCCGTGCGTGGACGTGAACACACGCTCGTACTCAGGTGGAGTTAGGCGCAGCCCCCCACTCTGTGCTGACTTGGAGCTGTGCTGCCTGGCCCCCCCTTCAAGCAAGGACAGCTGCTGCAGTCCCTGGGAGTGCCGTGGGAATGTGTCCTTCGGCAGTCAGACCCTTCAGGGTTTGCCTCGGCTGCAGAGAGCCCCCTCACCCAAGATCAGTCCCCTCCCACGTCCAGTGACTGCTCCGTGTGCAAATGCCAACGGCTAAGCCATCCTGGCCTCACCTGGGATGACTCTGAAGACCTCTTCTGGCTCCAGCATTCCCTGTCGGGTCGGCTGAAGCTGTCCCTGGGCCTGCATGGCTGCTCATTTCTTCCTCTGCCGAGTCCTGCCTGTTTCTCCCTCCCTGGATTCCCAGGGACTCAGTAATTGACACTCTGTGCTTTGCACTCGGCCTCAGAGCCGCTTCCCCAGGGACCCAGGCTCCTGCAAGGCCTCAGACTCTCTGACTGCTCACCCATCCACCTGGCGTCTGGAGAGACTCACAGGTTACAGGACACCTGACCAAATTGCCCTACACAAAAAAGGGCTCAGGGAAATCAGTGTTCTAGGTGAGGCACGGGTCTCTCCAGAAATCAAGTGACAGCACCAAGGACCCGGTTTCTGTTTCTTTACTTTGTTCCAAGGTGTTCTCTTCCCGAGGCTGGGCCTCCTGTGGTCGTGGTGTGTTTCCCAGCCTCTCCTGGGGGGTTGTACCTCCTGGTTTGGGTACTGCTGGAAAGAGGGTCTCTGTCCCAGAATTTTCAGCCCAAGTCTTCATATTCAGTGTGACGGGCCTGGCTTACATCTCCTGGCCACCTTGAACTAGTCCAGGCACTGGAGAGCGCCTCCTAGTTTGGTCTACGTCACATGCAATACCCTGGGAGCAGGGTCAGGGTGGCTGGGGTGAAGCACGTGACCTAGGTTAAGCCAGTAGGCACCTTTAGAGCCGAATGGATTGCGAAACAGAAATGGACAATTTTTTTTAAACTATTTTATTTATTTATTTGACAGAGATCACAAGTAGGCAGAGAGGCAGGTAGAGAGAGGGGCGGAAGTAGGCTCCCCGCGGAGCAGAGAGCCCGATGCGGGGCTCGATCCCAGGACCCTGGGATCATGACCTGAGCCGAAGGCAGAGGCTTTAACCCACTGAGCCACCCAGGTGCCCCTAAAAAAATTATTATTTTGTTTAGAGAGGGAGGGGCAGGGGGCAGAAGGAGAGGGAGAGAGAGAATCTTAAGCAGGGTCCCTGCCCAGCATGGAGCCTGATGTGGGGCTCCATCTCACGACCCTGAGATCCTGACCTGAGCTGAAATCAAGAGTCGGATGCTTAACTGACAGGGTCACTCAGGTGCCCCTAAAGATTTTATTTTTAAGTAATTTTCACACCCAGCATGGCGCTCGAATCTGTAGCCCTGAGATCAAGAGTCACATTGATGGAGCCAGCCAGCACCCCAGAAATGAACAGTTTTGAACATAATAGGAGCAAACACTTAGCTAGCACTTAGGACCCTATGCTTTTCTTATAGTCAGTCAGTCCTCACAAGGTCAACCCTCTGAGGTAGGGATCATAAGCATTTCCATCTTACAGATGAACCCAGTCCGTGAAGCGGCAAAGTGATCTTCCGAAGTCACCAGGCATAAGGTAGTTTACTTTTTTTTTTTTAAGTTTTTATTTATTTATTTGACAGAGAGATAGAGCAAGCACAATCAGGGGGAGCGGGAGGAGAAGCAAGCTCTCTGCGGAGCAGGAAGCCAGCCCCATGCAGGGCTTGATCCCAGGACCCTGAGATTATGACCTGAGCTGAAGGTAGCTGCTTAACCGATTGAGCCACCCAGGTGCCCCGAGGTAGTTTACTCTTAAGCACTGTACTGTCAGGAGCTCAGCTGAGCTGGAGAGCTGAGCCGCCAGGGGCCAGAGCAGCCAGTTAAGACAATTCAAAACTAAAGTGACTGGCCTTTCATTGCTTACTTCGCGCGAAGAAGAGGCTAAACTAGAGAAAGTGCCATGGTCCATTCCATGTTCCCTATGGAATGGGACCCATGGTCAGGGGGATGAGTCCCTGGGGCTGGTCTCACTGCTGGGGGAGCCCCGAACAAAAGTCTTCTGCAGTTTTGTGAATCTGGGGACCCCCGTGGGGGGTTGGGTGGGTAAGGGAGAATGGGCAGGACTGGGAGAAGGAAAGTGTCTGCAGGGTTCCCCCTCCCCCTGCCAGGCAGGTCTTGGCAGAGGCTCTGGAGGAGGGCACTGGGGGCTGAGTCCTTGGCTGCCCCCCTACTCTGAGACTACCAGGCACTGACCGGGCACCCAGGCTGGGTCACGGAGTGTAGTTTCCTGGGAGGACTGCCAGGGAAAGCCTTCATCACGGCCTATGGTTAGACCTAAAAAATCACATAGGTTTTTAGCCAGGAGCTTGACACCTTATAGCGATGGAACAAATGAATTCTGGCAAGGAAAACCAAGCAAGAAAGCCTGAACAAACAGATTCCCTGACATCACATGCAGCCCTCAGGCTTCCAGGTGTGACAGAGAGTAGCCCACACGTGTGCACGCTGTACACGGATCTCCCCCACTTACCAGGGCTGCACGTGGGTCGGTCCTCGTGTGCACAGGGATGCTTCCATGCACGTGCATGTGCAGACACACACTGGATTGGCCTAATTCATAGAAGGAGGACCCTTGTTACATGACTTCTTAGGAATTCTATGTCCTGGTCAGCTTTCTCTCCAGTCATACTGCTGCATGAGAAACAACGGCAAAACTCGGTGGATGGCAGCAAGAACTCTTTTACTCCGTGTCTTCGGGTCAACTGTTACCTTTGGCTGGCGTTGGCTGGCTTGGTGGGGTGGCTCTGCTTCTGGCTGCAGGTCATCTGCGCTGGGTTTCAGACTGTGGGTTAGGCTTAGGGGTGCTCCTAGGCTCTGGGGTGACTTGGGTGTGCTTTTTCCAAGGAGGATCCCTGAAGCAAGTCTGGTCAAGTACTCAAGACCTCTGTGTGCACGCACACTAGCATCTCACTGGGCGAAGAGAGTCACAGGTCCAGGCTCTGCGGCCATTAGGCAGGAAAGTGGTCCCCCAGGAGGGTCAGGGGAATGCATATTTGCTGAGCAGTAACTCAGACCATCATGCTTCTCTGCCTGTAGAGCCAGGGCTTGAGCTCTGGCATTAATTTTCTCCCCCCCCTTTTTAAAAAAAAAGATTTTATTTATTATCATTTGAGAGAGACAGAGATAGTGAGAGAGAGTGCGAGCAAGGGGAGGGAGAAGCAGACTCCCCACTGAGCAAGGAGCCCAAAGCAGGACCCTGAGACCATGACCTGAGCCGAAGGCAAAGGCAACTTTGTTTGATGTTTGACCAACTGAGCCACCTAGGTGCCCCAACACAATTTTTTTTAATCATCCAGTTCTGTAGTTCAGAAGTCTGACACAAATCTCAAAAGGCTAAAATCAAGGTGTCAGCAGGGCTGTGTTCTAGAGTAGAGGCTCTAGAGGAAGCTTCTAGAATCAGCGTGTATTCCTTGGTGTGTGGCCGCTGCTCCACCCCCAGGACAAGTAATGGTAGGTCAAGTCCATCTCCTGTCACCGTGGCTTCCTCTTCTGCCCTCTTCTTCGGCTGTTAAAGGCTCTGGGACCTTGTATCCATCAGGATAATTCAGGGTGATCTTGTTCCAGGTCAGCTGATTAGCGACTTAATTTTAACTGCAATTGTAATTCCTTTTTGTCCTGTAGCATAACACACTAGGGGAGAGGATGTGAACATCTCTAGGGGGCTATTTTCTGCTTACCATAGTCTGCCTTCTGGACTCCAAAGATTCACATCCATCCCACATACAAAACATACTCACCTTGTCCCCCAGTCTCATCCTATGATAGCATCAACTCAAACCAAAAAATTCTTGTCTGAATCTCACCTGCTCAAAGGGCCCCTATCTCATCATCTGAACTAGGTAGAGGGAGGATCTGGGAATAGCTCATCGTGGGGCACAATTTCTTTCCACCTGTGGGTCTAAGAAACTCAATAAACAGGTTACCTGCTCCCAAAATAAAATGGTGGGGTGTACATAGGGTACCTAAATTTATAGGCTTTTCCATTCAAAAGGGAGAAAATGAAAGGAAAAAAGGAGTCCCTGGTCTCAAGCTATTTCCAGATTCCTTTGCTGTCTAGGTCTAGAATAATCCTCTGGGCTTGAGACTTTGCCTTCACTGTCATTTTCCCCTCTTTGATGTCAGATAGTACCTTTTTGTAGTTCCACCAA